GTCGGTATTCCTCAGTACACTCCTGTCCCTGTCCAGGGCAACAAGCCTTCCGTGGCCGTCGGCATTCCTCAGTACACTCCTGTCCCCAGCCAGGATTCCTGCCCTGCACCTGTTACTGTCACCAAGACTCTCACTGTCGGTGTTGACGTTCCCCAATACACTCCCGTCACTCCCGCCTCCTACACTACCACGGTGATCACCATCACTGAGGGCCACAAGCCCCAGACCTACACAGTGACCATCCCCCACAGCGCCATGTCGACTCCCACTGTTCCTATCACCACTTCCATTCCCGGAGGATGCAACCCCGCTCATCCCGGCAGCTGCCCGACCCCCTCTGCTTCCAAGTCTCAGGGTCCTCCCACCGGTCCCAAGCCCAGCGCCGGCTCGTCCATCGTCTATTCTCATTCCGTCCCGGCCCCTTACCCCACAACCTCTGTCAAGTCGTACCCTGCGAACACGCCCTCTATCCCTGCTGTCCCGGTCGCCAGCTCTTCCCCCAAGCCCTCATCGAGCACTCCGGCCGGCTACGTTCCATACTCCCCTGAGTCCAGCAGCAAGCCCACACCTGTGCCCACCACAGCCTACGGTTCCGGCTACGCATACTAAGCAATTTGGCTACGAGCGACGGACACCTGACTTGAACACTTCGGAGTTGGTTGAAATTGGATGTCAAAATACCTCCTGATAGTCTGCTATTATGACTTTGGTCCTTGATTCATTGAATCAATTCTACCTTCTTACTTTCCTTTGTAGATACTTTGTGTAAGCATGGCAATGCTTGGTGTGTACATAGAGAGCGAATGGCAATTCTCACTTTGTCCTGAACCCTCCCTCCCTGGCTGCGCTTCTTCGTAAATTTTCGCCACCTGACGTAACTATCTGCAGTTCAGAGAGGCATCGCATTCCCACTTGATGTCAGATAATGCTGAGTTAGATACCAGCGAATGGGGCAAAGTCCCCAGGTCGTGTGCAGGATGATGAGGTCGAGACCAAGGGCAGTGATGACATGGCGAACGTCAATTGTCGAGACCAAGAGCAGTGATGACGTGGCGAACGTCAATTGCAATTAAAGTACGCACTTGTGGACCCCCTCGGAAGGTACCGTCAAAGTCTCGTATTCATCAGCAAACCGAGTAGAAGTAAGCTCCGTGACTCGCATCAGCATGTGATATTGTATGTAATGTGATCAGGCTGTTATTGTGCGCAACGACCAGACCATAATAAACATCGCTAGTCAATCGTATGCATGTACACATGCGATCGGATACGGGAGGCACACGTAGCGCTTCTAGAGGCCGCGAAGGAGAGGATATGAATACGGATTGGCGGCAGCGTTGATCCGAAGTAGCGGCGAGCACCAGAGTCGCTAAATACCACAGGGCGAAACAAAGACATCACTCGGCGCTCTCAGCCGGGTTCACCAAACGAGGCAGGGGTCCACTGACTACTGTAAGCTTAGTGATCAGCACCGCGCCAGATTGAGGTCACCAAGCATGTAAAAGAGGGGGATCCGAGCGATCCAGGATTAACAATACAATAATTCAGCTGGTGATCAACAGAGAGGCGGGGTCCAGAGGAGATAAGATCAGCGAGCCGATCACACGGGCGAGCCAATCACTCTGCCAAGACCACACTAATATTCTACCTTACAACCTCGGGGTCAATGTAAATATAACAGTTCTTGCAGGTTCAGGCCATTGCTGGTGCCAAAGCTGGTGCTTTCCTTATCTCACCGTTCCTAGGCCGCATCCTTGACTGGTATAAGGCCACGACCAGTAGAGACTACAGCAACAGCAAGGATCCTAGTGTTGTAAGTGTGGACAGAATCTTCAGCTACCACAAAAAGTTTGGATGTAAGACCATCGTTTTGGGTACCTCTTTTCGAAGCATTGGTAAAATCACTGAGCTGGCTGGCTGTGATTACTTCACTATTCCTGTGAGTCTGCTTGTTCCAGGGAGTTCGGACGTTCGGTAACAAGTTTCTTCAGCGCATTTTGCTCGAGTAACTATAATTCCACCTGCTCCGTCCCTAAGAAGCCTGATGCTTCCAGTACCAAGTGACTCAATATCGAGAGAAAGACCTACATCAACGATGAGTCTGCGTTTCGCTTCTGCTTCAATGAGGATCAGATGGCCGTCGAGAAGTTCCGCAAATAAACGAAACCAAGCTCGAAGCTGTGAGCTGTTGATTGTGAGAGAAGTAATAAGATGTGAAACGACCCACATTCTTTCCACCAACGCTAAGGGTCCGAAGCTAGTAGCTGTACGTGGTCACAGTGTATGCATGCATGACAGATATGTTTTTCGAAAATGCCAATAGAGTCCATTGGATTCGTGTTGTTTCATCGGCTCACAGAAATTACTCCAGGCTCCCTGTATGCCCTAGAAATAGCTTTCCTCAAGACTATATTTCCTCGATCTTGATCTGGTTTGTCTGAAAAGTCGCAGCATCCACCTTTGGCACAAAAACCCTTTGAAGCCCCTGCCTGAGTCTTACTTGGATAGCATATATGTCCATAGCAATCGGAAATTAGAAATTTCGCATATAGAACCTGGTCCTTCGCTCATTGAGCCAGAGTTTCGTCATCATGCGCTCAGGGCTGCTTCGCTGACCCGCTTCCGGTTCTCCTGCCGAAATCATTCCGCATCAGGTGAGGAGGAAACGCTATTCGGATGGGCGAATGCAAAATGTTGGAAGATATTGCTGAGGTGGGCCATATTACCTGGCTGTAAAGATTGATAAGGTATTTCGTGTAGTATGTAGCACAGTTTCTGCTGAACGATTTAATGGTTGATTTCAGTGAGGATAAGATGCCTATTTTTATGTATGCGTTGAGGGAACTTGCAAGTAGTTGAAGAGACTCAGCTAGAGATCGCTATGGTGGCTTCCCCATTCCTTGTATTCACGACCTGATGCGGTGTGACTGGAGGCATGCCACAAAAAAGTCGCGCTAATTTTGGGTGATTGGCAAACATGAGAGATATAGGCATGTCAGATTGCCGCGAAAGCGCTGTGTTCTTTGCACGCGTGAGATCGGGGCTGCCCGTATTTTGTCTTAATCGACTTAACAGTCAACAGTCAACAGCAGCTGCACAAGCTTGCACAGGTATTACAGGTCTCTGTAACTAGTCTGTCAAGCACACAGTGTCTTAAAAAGAACTCTTGAGTAAACGACTATGGTGAGACAAGGAACCACCATACTAAGATCACGTCTGGCTCTCTTCTGCATAGCGGTACGAGTTTTGGAAGAGTGATAGTACACTACTTGATGCAGAAGCAATGGAAGCTGAAGTTTGAGCTGCAAAGAGTTCTGTGAGCGTCTCAGGGTTGTTTTGCCAGCAGCAATTGATTTATGAATCTACTGACTACCAGCTATTTTCGCCGCATGAAGGCAGCAACTGGGTCTACCAGGTAACAGGCAATTCCGTAATACCGATATCAGCTCTCGGCGCTGTCCATTTGATCTCTGAAAACGGCACCGCGAGTTGCAGGTTTGGCAGTCTCTGGACCAGGGTGGCTAGGGAGGAATACAGATCAGGTCGCTATCTCGGCTGAACATTTGTGTCTCGAGGACTTACCAAAGACAATTTCGAGCTCTCCTCTAGCCAGAGGCTCAGCAACACATCGATGCTCTCCGTACCCATAGCCCATCGCCTGATACCAGTCTTCTCCTCGCCCGCCTTGCTCCTTCTCCACGAAGCGCAAGATGTCGAATGTCTCAGGATCCGAAAATACGGCTTCATCTCGGCTGGCAGACTGCGTTGCAGCGATTATGCCTTCACCGGCTCTGATCTTGCGGCCTGCAATCTCGACGTCGACTTTCGCAACGCGACGGGTTGCCATGGCGGATCCGGTGTGGTACCGACACAGCTCGGATACAAAAGCCGGTGTCAGCGAGAGATCGCACTTGAGCTTTTGAAGCTGGGACGGGTATTTGAGCAGAGTGACTATGCCCTTTTTTTGTCAATGGCTTTGTTATATACGGGGTGCGAATTGACGACTCACAAGGCTGATCATGTTGATCATAGTGGCGTTTCCGGCGATCAACATGAGAAATGCAATGGCAACGGCGTCGGAGTGTTCGATATGACCAGGTTTGACCTGCTCAACCGCTAGCTTGCTGATCAGATCTTCGGCGGGCGCATTAGAACGTTTTTCGACCAGCTTGCTCAAATAATCGAGCAGCGTCCTAGTCCCCAGCATCAGCTTTTGTAGCACACCGTGCTACGATGAACCGTGTTACAGATACTTACTGATTGGCCTTCGTGGCTTCAGTAGCAGTCGAGCTTCCGTTACTGCGTACTGCAGATTGTGCGGTAAGAAATTCGAGGTCGCTGAAGGGTATCCCAAGAATGCTGTAGATGATCTATGTTGGTAAGCAAGCATACCAACGAGTGAACACAAAATATCGTACGTGGGAGGGAACAGGCAAAGCAAAACTCTCCACAAAGTTAACTGGTCTCTCACAACCCTCTCCAATCATCTTATCCAACAGGTTTGTGACTGTCTGTTGGATGTATGGGCGTAGTCTTTCCACCGCACTCCAGATGAACAATGGCTCAATCATTCTACGCTGTCGCATGTGCGCTGGTGGATCCATATCTACGAAAGTCGGCCTATTCTTCCCTGCCTCTTTACCACCTGGGCTCATCTCTGGGAAGCCAGGGCGAGTGCGCTCCTTTGACAGCCGGTCGTCAGTCAGCACGCTGACCACATCCTTGTGATTCACTACTAGCCATGGAAGGCTGCCATCCCAAAGCTCAACTCGCGAGACAGGATTTAGCATTCGTAGCTGTTTATACTGGGCTGGTGGTTCCCAAGCCTGGGGGCGAGCAAAGGGGAACGTGGGTGGATGCGCATCGCTCATCCTGGATTTGAAAGCAAAATATATCTGCAAAGATGGAGTATTCGAAGTTTTATCAGCGTAGGGGAAGAACAACTTTTAAGGACAATGCTGTTCTTTAAATATAGCAAATTTACTGTCTGAGCTTGCTCAGCTCGACCTTGTTTTCAACGCCAGTGCTCTGCAGAATACCAGAAACAATCTAGAAGCGTTAAATAAGCGTGTCTTTATATTGAGCTAGTATCTCCACCCTATAGAATCTCTGCAAACGGCGCGTTTGAGCTATATTATCTAATTTCAGCTTAAGAGAGGTGCTTAGACCTTTCGGTATCCCCTTTGGCTACGGTGGGGGAACATGGATTCTGAAGCTGCTGGGGTATATCGCAAGACTCTACAGACTATTGTCCTCCAATAAGGAGAAGCCACGACATCACATTTTTTCACGTACTAGCACTGCATTACGAGTTGAGTATGCAAAACCTACTCTGTCGTCACACACCCGTCAGCCTGCATGCCTCTGCTTATGTCAACTCACCCCATTGCGTAAGGCGAAGATTTGGAAGACTGACTTGCCTTGGTGGCGTTCCAATCAGCCTGATGTATGCTGTTGTGGTCTGACATCACGCGACCCTTGAATGCAGGTTCTGAGCTGACTTCCAAAACTGTAACTGTTTTTGATATTGTAGCTGAAGTCTAGACATGCAGGTAAGGCAACATAGAGGGATATACGTGTTGGCGCGTGTCCATGGATCTTTTACGGAGGTCAAAAAATCCGACGCTAGCCTTTCGATGTTCGGATAGTGGGCTTTGAGTACATCTGAGATATAACGGTTTTCGAAGTACCATCGACACCACGTGATTTGACGAGGGGTCGCTGGAAATCTCAACCACATCACATATAGGCCAATTTATATAGCAAACTAATGCGTGCGCATCTCTGTAAGACCTCTTTTTATTGCGATAGGATTCTCGAAGCTATATCGCAACTCTCACGACGTTCATTTGGTGTTGTTGAAGCACGATTGGCCACCTACAATGGTCAACAACGACCGTAACGGAAAGCGGCTGCCACCCACTTTGCAGCAATCGGTGATGGAGCATATTGCTGCTTCTCAGAATAATACTCACGTTGCTATCGCTTCTGGTGTGCATCGCGAGACTGTAGCGAAGTTGCGATTGAGCTTGGAGTACTGGGGACAGTGCTATCCTCCACCCACCGTCAGGCTCGGCCGCCCGCCTCTACTCCGGCAAGCTCAGCTGGAAGGACTCGCGGAGTACCTCGCTGATAGACCCAGCGCTTATCTTGAAGAGATGCAGCAGTTTCTGTATGAGGAGTTTGATGTAGAGCGCCATATATCCACTGTGTGGCGGGCGTTGGAGAAGCTCAACTACTCAAGAAAGCTGGCCACAAAGCGTGCAAGGGAGCAAAGTGAGCCTCTCCGTCGGGTGTACAGAGCTCGTATGGCGGAATGTAGAGCAGAACAGATCATCGCTATTGATGAGAGTGCTTGCAATGAGCGTACTGGCGATCGCAAGTATGGCTGGAGTCGTGTTAATACTCCAGTCAAGCTCTCGTACAGCATAAGACGGAGTAAGCGATGTTAATTCTGCCAGTGATGACTTGCAACGGGTACCTTAGCTACGCTATTTTTTAAGGTGTGATTACCTCTAAGCTCATGGAGGACTTTATGGCAACCTCTGTTCTGCCATACACTACGCCAGGTTACTTAGTAATTGTACTTAACAACGCGTTAATTCATCAATCACCTCAGCTTTGTGAGCTTTGTGCTATGTACAAGGTGCAGCCGGAGTATTTGCCGCTATACTCACCTAACTACAACCTAGGCTGGCGGATGGGTAGGGTAGGGTAGGGTATAGGTATAGTCACGTGATTTATGGGTAGGAACTAGGTAGGGTACATGAGGTACCCTACCCAAACGGTTTGGGTAGGGTAGCACGTGACTGGGTATAGGTATAGGTAGGGTAGCACGTGACTAGGTATAGGTATAGGTAGGGTAGCTAGGTAGGGTCTAGGAATGGGTAGTTATTAGCAAAATCTAGGTTACTACTCTAGACTTTGTACTATTGTATACTTTAGAGCATAAGTATGTGATAATAGACTGTGATAATAAATTATAGATGCTTTTTCTTCTAAGTATTGTGTATGCGAAAGAATCTACTAGTACAACCTAGGGTTAGTTGTATACAAACTAGGTTAGTAATATACCCAAACCAAACCTATACCTAGCACGTGCTACCCTACCTATACCTATACCCAGTCACGTGCTACCCTACCCTACCTATGGTCCGTGCAACCCTACCCTACCTATACCTATGGTCCGTGCGACCCTACCCTACCTATACCTACGTCCGTGCGACCTATACCCTACCTATACCCTACCCTAGGTACATGGTACCCATCCGCCAGTCTACTACAACCCCATCAAGAAGAGCTTTAAGTAGCTAAAAAGTAAGATTAAAAGACACTCTGCTAAGCAAGACATCTTTAACAGCTTTAATTACTTCCTAGAATAAACAATAGAGCGTACAATGAAGGAGGTGGACTGCAGAAGCTGGTTCTAGATGTGTAGTTATTAACTAGAGGGGTGGGTTAACGCGCACAGGAATCCTAAGACTAACAACATTAATAACTTTTTGTAACAAAGTATTACGCAACACTAACGTAAAGCACCGCTGAGCTGGACACACCACCAAGCTGGACACTTTTTCTTAGCACTACAACTTTTCTATACAACACAATATGCAACAACAACGCAAGTAGATATTAACTTAGCAAGAAGGTAGAATTATTCTTGCACTTTAGGCCTATACCTTAGGACAATTTAAGAGCGTACAGAGCGCTGCTGCTGCCTTTAAGGTACCTTTCTAGAGGCTCTCTAATTAGCTAAACAAAATCACATTTTGACAAGAAGTGTAACAACGCTCTACGAACAGTGACCCGATACCACTAGGATACAGTTCCAGCGACTCATGACTATGGCCCTTGTCGCATAGCATAAGCTTGCACTAAACTACTACTAAACCCTTATATATAAGGAGCAAGGAACTGTAGTATTATAAAGTAGTTTTTCTATATCCTTTTATATAAGACCTATAACGTAGATTATCACCAAGCCAGCCATATCACTGAACTAGCCATTTTCTCTTAGCACGACTAACACAAGTTACTATAACTACAACTACTTGCTATTAAATAGTGACCTAGTATACTGCGTGCTTGCTTTAGATTTAGAAGATGTTTCTACACCCTCCTAGCACGTTCGTGCGTTGTGTCTAGTCTTGCTGCAGTTCCTACAGTGCTGAACAGTTAACTAAGCTCCTAGTTAACCACCTCCACCCTAAGTCTTCTTAGATGGCTGAGCTGCTACACACGCCTCAGCAGCTACCCACAATGCTGCTAGGCCATACTTAAGTGTGCCACTATGCTGAATCTGCTTTCTCTTACGTGATTTTCTCTTAGTTATTACTACTAATTGCTCTTCAAGCTCTTGCATGCGGGCCTTAATAAGGACGTTTTTGTGCAGCGTCTCTTTAGCCCCTTTTATAAGCATTAAGAACCCCTCTTGCGCTGCACTTCATAATTGTTAGAAGGAGTTGCTTATAAGCTTAGATTAAGACCTAAACTTGTGTGTATTACTTAGTGTCCTAGATTGCTACAGTGTTTTAGGTAGAGGTACTGCTAGTAGGGTATAAAGCTACACTTTAAGGTAATCTAACACTACCTACATGTTAGTAGGAATAAGCCCTAATGCCTTAAAGGCCTTTTAGTAGTTAACCTTTATAAATATATTAAGGAACACATCCCTAAAGGCTAGTAGGAAGCCTTCCTTATTAATATAGAAGACATATTAGCGTGCTAAGTCTTAAATATATTAGGAGTACTTGTGCTTTAATAGCAAGAAATAGACTATATTAAGTAGCTAGAGTATGTGTAATAAGTAAGGTAGTATATAGAGAGTAAGGATTTAGTTCTCTAGGTAATAGTCCTTAAACTCCTAGTTAAGATAGCTCTTATATCTATCTAAGATAAGCAACCTATACACTCCTACCTAATAAATCTTTGTATACGTGTTAAAGTACTTTAACTACTTAAGGCTAAGTATATTATTTATCTAACTATTCTTAGAGACTAAGAGCTTCTAAATATAGGGTATATCTGTCTCCTTATACTAGGCAGAGATGTGGACGCGTCCTTTGTAGATAATAAAAGGTGGGGTTGCATACCTAGCAGCGCAGATGCTCTAGATAACAGTAACCTACTCGCGATCGCCTAGCTGAACAAGCTCTAGCTAAGCACGTCTCTCTAAGCCTGTTACAACCTTTAAAGATAAAGCAACACCTATCTAGAACCTAGTTTTATTAAAGTTGTGCATATTATTATTACAAACACTATACATAACTTAAGTATCCTCTACTAGCTTAAACTACATGCTAATTATCTTAGGATCTTCCTACAGTATCCTCTGTCTATCCTTAGCTTAATTAAAGGCTATTTTAAGCTTGTCTAAACGCGTTACAAGCCTGCTAGCCTATAGTTTGCTAACAGGCTCTTTACTACGCATACTAAGTATCTTATTAGCTATATCTGCTACCTTACATAGCTAGGGCGCAAATCCTTGCGAATTAAGGTTAAGTATATACTAGACAATTGTCTGCTCCTCTAGTATAGTAAGTTTCTAGTAATTAGCGTGTACGTCTAGTTAAAACGTAATATTGTAAAGGTAATTAGAGACCTACTAATAAGGTACGTTTAACGCTCTAGCAGCGCTGTAGATACTGCGAAATTAGCTAGCATAGAAGGCCTAGATAGCAAGGATAACTCTGCCTTCTCTAGTAGTATTCTGAAGTTATTGTTATTAAGGCATGTTGTGTTAGGGTAAAAGGTGGTTGTGCTAAGAGAAAGTGGCTGGTTTGGTAATATGGCCGGCTCGGTGATAATCTACGTTAGGGGTAGAGAATATATCCTAGTGTTCTTATTATCCTAGCACTCCTATATACATTATAGCAGATTCACACCTATTCTAGATATCTCTCTTCTTACCTGCGTCATTACATTATACAGAAAAA